GTATGAGAATCTTTATGGTATGCGTTCTGTTGTGTATATTTCACTAAAAGAATGTGATTTGAGGTAGCCTCCACAACAATAAGCCACAATATTAATACTATAACGTGAAAACATCTTCACACGTTGAGATATGTACTGGTTACGAAAAAGTTAGATGTACAATATTGATTATTATTAGTCATATTAACCAGAAATTTCAACTGTAGTTTTAATTTTAAATCTTTTAATTAAATTTGTTACCTGTTCAATATTGTTTTATGTCAAGTTTTAACTATTTTAAATAAGTGTATTATTATGATAGTCTAACAATATAGACACAATATGAATTCATGTTGAATAAATGATGTAACTCGAAAATCATACACCAAGTTTTCATCTACGCCTGATGATGACCAGGTAAGGGTCGAAATATGTAGCGAAGATATCAGCAGCAAAATAAAGCAGATTTTGACACGATAGTGTCTATCTTGTTTATTTTCTGAACTTGTGTAGACTGCTTCAAATCATATTCCTTTAGGATTTGAGAGTGCATACTAGATTAGTCTGCCTGAGAATAGCGACCAGTGCCAGGCTCTTGAGAACACGGTGATGAACGTGGGGGTGCTATGTAAAGAGACATATCTTGACCAGCTGAACACCTATAAGCTTCTCAAGAAGGAGAACTATGCTCCATGGAGTGAATTAATAAAATAAAGATGTACGGAAAAATCCGAGCTGAATCCAGATTGATCCCAACATATTCTGCACAAAAGGTCATCAAATGCACTTATGTGAAATTGTTACGCAAATACATAATGAAATGCGATAACTTGCATGGTGTGTGTGCTGCGTGAGGCAGTCTAAACTGGGACCTCCGTCTTATCTTTCTTCAACTTTTCCACTATGTGCACCAGTGCTTTCAGGCAAAGAGGAGACCGATAAATATGCAAGAAAAACAGATTTATCTTAATAATTATTTAGTGTATAGTTTCATATTTTCTCTAATTCAAATCTGTGGACTGCGACATATCACAACCAACATACAAGTCACGTTCCAGGGTATTCATGTGCTGGACAGAAAGGCTCTCAACAAGTTATAGTCTGTAAGTTACAAGTACGTTATTCCTCTGAGAGATTTCATTCCACGGTTGCTCGTTTAACAATTTTGAGCATGAAATTCGTATAAGCAATATTTAAAATGCAGTTTCTATTGTCTAGAAAACACTACTTCTGCATTACAAAACTCGCCCTGTTACCATTTGTTGCGGAAAGAACCGCCCCTTGTTCTGAGAATCACACGAAAAAAGTATTATGTTCGGGCAAAAGATAAAGTTTTCCAATTTCAAAGTAGGTGGTATATACAGTTGCTATTGTGGTTTAAAGAGGCACGCGGTAGCGCAGTTGATTGAAGCATGAACTAAAAGCCGAAATGTCTCGGGTTCCATTCCAGATAATGTCATTGAATTTTGTTTCAATTTACCTAATCCTTCCAGCCGCATTACAGCCCTGCGGTCGACTCAGCCTCTAACAGAAATGAGTGCCAGAAATCTTCTTGGGGGGGGGGGGGGAA